TTTTTTTTTTTGCTTGTTCTTTTTAATAATTATTATCTAATCCGTTAATTAAACGGACAACTGAGACAAGCCTAGACTTCTAAACTGGTCCCTCACCATTATATTCTGTTTTGTTTAGTGAAATAAATGTCACGTTGATTGATTAATTGAGTGATTGATTGATTGATTGATTATATGGGGCATGTGATGGAGGTATAATTTATGGAATTCACTTTCGTCAAGTTGTCAAGAAATTTTTACAGAGCCCCTATATAAAGGGACATGGTTAAAGAAAATATTAAACTATTTCGAGGGAACGAAATACTATTTCGTTCCCTCGAAATAATATTTCTTATATGGTACACCCACAGTGCCTTCGGCGTCGGTTGTTCGTCATGGGTGGCGCAAGGATTTGCCCAACGGGTGTGGAGGTGGGGGGGGTGAGCCCAACGAGGGGGGGGGGGCGAGGTCCCAGGCTGGGGGTCCATGCCCAAGATGAAAGCAAAGTGGGTGTGGTCGAGGTTTGATTGTAAGGTTTTGACAGTTTATAAATTTTGACAATTTAAGGGTTTCAAAGGCTTATTTAATCGATATTAGAGGATTTGAACTTCTAACGCTGTCTCTTATACACATCTAGATGTGTATAAGAGACAGATATATATACTGTATATAACTTAATTAGGTAATTAATTTGATCTGAAGAGTGTTGCACCATATAATACACACATAATACTATAGGGCCTCTGTCAGAGAGAGCTGCGCCCCCCACCCCCATCATGGATAAAAAACACAATTCGTCGGGGAGAAGCAAAAATTGTATGTATTTTCTACATATTAGTAGTCTCTAATATAGATTAAATAAGCCTTTAAAACCCTTAAATTGTCTAAATTTTAAAAAATTGTCTAAACCTTTTAATCGTAGCTCGACCACACCCACTTTGCTTTCGTCGGGAAAATCTGACCCTTCGTCGGAGGCATTGGAACCCCCAGCCGGGGACCTCGGGCTCCCGTCGGGAAAATCCTGGCGCCACCCCTGACGAACAGCCGACGCTGAAGGCACTGAAGGTGTACCATACACGAAATATTATTTCGAGGGAACGAAATAGTATTTCGAGGGAACGGAATAGTATTTCGAGGGAACGAAATAATATTTTGAGGGAACGAAATAATATTTCGAGAGAAGGAAATATTATTTCGAGGAAACGAAATAATATTTCGATGGAACGAAATAATATTTCTAGGGAACGAAATAATATTTCGAGGGAACCGAGGGAACGAAATAATATCTCGTGGGAACGAAATAATATTTCGAGGGGAACGAAATAATATTTCGTTCATCGAACGAAATATTATTTCGTTCCCTCGAAATGATTTCGTTCCTTCGAAATATTATTTCGTTCCCTCGAAATAGTTTAATATTTTTTCTAACCATGTCCCTTTAGGGGCTCCGTACATTTTAAACACGTTTGTCATTTCTTTCACATTTGTGGGTTCAACAACCCTCCCAAATGTCAAACCAATTTCAATCCTCGGTTCATTGATTATTTCAATCGCAATCGTCCGTAATAATCAATTGATTTCCATTATTTTCTTATTTTGAAATATCCTCCCTTCAATAGCAATCCTCGGTTGATAGTCACTTGAGTATTTCCTTTCTTAGAAATCATACACCCACCACAATAACATAAAGACAGGAGGTTAAATCAATAACGAAATATTATGACAGCAGACTCAACCAATCACAGTAACATGTGACAGCAGGCTCCAGCACGATTTTGTTTTTCCTTACGAAACATTTTAATGAAACATTGCCAGATATATATTTATTTAATAGTGAGCAAACGTTTTCGGTTATCAACCTTTGTCAACCTTTGTCAAGCTTGACAAAGGTTGATAACCGAAAACGTTTGCTTCTCTCCGAAGTTTCTTGTTTTTACTATTTTTTTTGCCAATGCAGCCTTCCAGTTTTTTTTATATATATATATACTTCCGCATTTCCTCATAAAACCAAGTTCACCGTGACGTTTTAGTGAGACTCGAACTATGGCTGCAATGGTTATAGCGAGGTATAGGCCATTGCATTTTCCGTTCATAGTAGGTCATTAACCCTAGCGATTCAGTGACTGAAAGCAAACATTTTTCATTCATATCACGGAAGTTTTGAGTTTAACTTAGCTGCAGCTGGTTTAAATGCTTTAAGAAACGCAAATTCTTTATTTTGACCATAAAAAACTATTCTGTGAAGTTTCATTTTTATCAATTTATAACTGGGACGTAAGCACTTTAAATGACCCTCAAATTTACACTCTAACCTGGATCGTCTCCAAAACATAATAATGTCTTCCTTGTAACTTGATTAAACTTTCCCGAAAGTTTCATTCGGATCGGTTGATCCGTTTTTGAAATATCTGGTCTAGGACGTTTTTGTTTGAATGGTCCTCATATCCACACCCTACTCCGGATCTTTACAAAAATTTAATAATTTCGGCACCTGACGACTCAGAGTATGTCTTAAGCCGGTTACTCAATGCGTGCGACGGCAACGCGACGAAGAACTAATTATATGTATATAATCAAGAAATGTTAAATTATATACCGTATTAAATAATGAATTATGTGTATATAATTATGTTTAATAATTAAAGTAGGCCTACATTTGGTGCCTTTCAGTAATCTTCACTCTATCATCTGTTTAACTTGGTACGTCTAATACTAATGTATACCGTAGAGGGTGAAATCAATTGCCTTCAATCCGATTTGAACTTCTAACGAAAGCCTCAATGGCCAGTTGGAAAGCTAGATGTTTGTCTTTAATGTATGCCTACAACTGATTTTTTCTATGACACTTGATAGATGGAACTATTAAGATAGGGGCCTATAACAGATATCTTAATAAAAATCAAAGCTGTGGGAAAAGGATGATTACGCCCATTATTTTAAAATTCGATATATACCGTTTACAATTTATATGTATAAACCATTTCTGCAAGACGATTTAGAGTAGCTCTCGTGTATAACATCACCCGGAATTAAGAAATAAGATCAAGTTCAAATGCACACTAAACAGCATTGAACTGCAGACAGCAAATCAACACTCGTATTAAAATGCGTCATTATCTTGTCTCACTGCAACAATGTCGCTACGTAGGGCAGCATGATTTATCTATAATAAATAAATATTATTTACAGCTCAGCTGGCATACAATTGTCACCATTCTCTGAATAATCTACGACTAGAACATTTGCTGAGAGCTATGCTACACGATGTATTATAATGTCCTTATTCAAACACTGTATTTACCTTTCTTTGATGATTTATATACAATGAAGAATGAGCAGTTAGGACAAAAGAATGAGCAGCTGCCAAAGAGGAAAGAGCTGTTGGTACAGTAATTGTGCTTTCGGGATGTCAACCGTCGGGTTGGGGTTTGAATTAACTCCTGTCTCTTATACACATCTAGATGTGTATAAGAGACAGGAATAAATAAATGTACTGACATTTTTACTGACAAAAAAATACAAAAAAACAAAAAACAAAAAACAAAACTGGCTAATGCAGCGTAGTTATAAAACACAAGTCTATAAGTGTAAAATTTTCATTTATTTTGTCAATTCATATATAGATACAGATTTTAAAAATAACATTTAACAAGATAAGAAAAATGTTACCAGGAGGTGGTCATACACATTATATGTGGCGCTCTGACCGCTAGCCGACAATATAAATAGGCACATGGATTCATATAATATATTTCCATATAAAAAAATAGATTAAAATTCAAAGATATACAGCAATACACGTTGTTCTTCCTGTTCAGAAATTTCATGTAAAATAACATTATAAAAGTTAAAAAGAAAACGTGTTAAAACATACCGGTACAGTTTATGCATTATTATCTTCTGAAGGCCAACGTTTTTTAATTACGTTTTAATTCCATTTAAAGACTTCCCCAATTGGAAACCACCTCAAATTAAACCATGGCACTTCTCTGTAGTCCCAAATTTACAAATGTCTTTTATTTTTATTATTCTAATTGGCGACCAAAGCTGCTAAAGATCATGGAAACCCCAGTCCCAAAAGTGGTATTTAATTGGAGGAAGACCTGTAATTGAAAGACACTCGGACAAGTATAAAAGGAGCAAATGCTACTCACAGACTCATCATTGATATTAGTAGGCAAATTCACCAAAAATGAACAGGGGCGGCGCCAGGAATTCCCCGACGAGGGGTCCATGCTCCCCGACAAAGGTGTCCACTCCCGCTCCCCGTCGGGGAAGCCTAGCCTATCCCCTCCCCAACCCTCGGGGAAAAAATTAGATCTGTCGGGGATTTTTTTTCTCCCCTGGACCCCCGCTAGCGCCACCCCTGAAGATTGAACAATTTGATACATTACAGTGTTGTGCGACATCGAGTGGGCACATATGTAAGTGATCAAGATGCTTGCATACACTCTGGTCATACATTTATTCGACATGGATTTATCGTAAGGTAGACATGCAGACATCACATACAGAAACAGAATGTTAATAAATATGTATACTAATATACTATTTTACAAAAAAAATTACTACAATATTTAATTGTTTATCGGTAAAAATCAGTAAGCCTAGTTCGTCTGTGAATGCCTCAATAGTTTCTACTGACGCCCACTACCGACGTGTAATGGGGAATCCCCGTATTGATTTCTTAACGTCACAACGTCAATAAATTTCAAATCAAATATTCAAATTTAAAACACTTAGTAGCCAAAATACACAAATGCTTTAAAAAAAAAACATTCAAAAATACAAATCTCTAAATTCAATTTAAGGCAAAACTAAGTAAAATTTTGATATAGTCACATACAAGAACAACGTAAAAACCTGATTTTGATTCTCATGCTTACTTGATGTCATTAGTTGAGATTATAGACTATAGAAAAGGTGTGTTTTTCAGACTTTTAAGCCTAAATAACAGTTGTGTATCTAGGAGTCGCAGCTGCGTGGGTGTGATCGGGGGGGGGGGGTGTGATTAAGTGACGGTACTAGCACGAAAAGTACCAAGTGATGAGGTTATATTCGACTACACTAGAGCACATTGTATTTGCTTTTTGTTTTCTTTTTGGGGGTTGCCCAAAAAAAAGGTAATATGAGGTAATGTTTAACTACTTCTTACTTTGAATATTACTAGTGGGGTGGGGTGATTGGGAGGGGGAGGGTGAGTGCTCTGTAATTTTTACACGCACCGATATACAAGTTAAAATTACGCAGATAAAGAAAAAAACAGTAAGCCATAACAGTTAATTTTACTTTAGTATTAGTATTAGTAGTATTATTCCGGGTATAAAGCCTTTTAAAGCAATCGCATGAAGCGATATTAATATTTAAATACTGAGCTAGAATGCGTTATTTGTTTCTATGACTGCGATTCCTCAATACTTAAGCGATCGTCGACAAAAATAACCGTCCCTTTTACTTGATCTTCTACTTCTTGACACTCACTCTCATACCTTGAATCACCTTCTTCTTGCACGGGATATGTGCAGGGATCTGTGTAAAATAGTCCTACAATGTTGTATTCGTTCGTTCTGTGACTACCGGTAATGCCTCCAATCAATTCACGAGTGACGTCTGTTTCTAACATGATTTTGTGCATTCCATATTTCACTTCTTCAACGGCATATGTGCATCTACTGCTCATTACTCTATTCAGGCCTATTCCTTCTTCTTGTATCGGATACCCTGCTTCAGTTCTCCCTCCTACATTAATGCCTTCTCCCTGTGCCTGATTTTCATTGGTTATTTCTTTTCTCTCTTCCATTATCTATCGTGTTGGTTTGTTGTGTTTTTCAGTTTCTTTTGTACTGTACTGCATAGGAAGAAATGATAAATAAGCATTAAACCTACAGTTACACTTATAAAGTAGACTGTGGTGAGATGAGGGATAATGAATAGGCCGTCGGGGTTGATTCGTTATCAAATTAAAATTAAAATAAGAAGCGATAAATTCTAAATAATGAATAAATGTTGGCTTACCAAAAATCACGTACAGTATGCCTATTAACCAAGTTTCTATGAATAAGAGGATCGAAGTGACAGTAACCGTTGAACGGTAACGGTATTGACGAATTGCAAGCCAGCGACTGCATTCATGCATAGCAAGCCATGGCTCGTGACTACGACGAAGTATAATCGCAGTATTGTACCAAAAGTGCGAGGCAACTTAAAAACACTATAAAAATCTGTAAAAGTGACAATGACAATATTTTATTATAAATTATGATGTTCATATGAACTTCTCATCGAGTAATACTAAAATCAAACCATTTCCTTCCATCAAAAAGTAACTTAACTTAACCCGGCCTGGTAATATCCCTGGAAGAGTTTACCAGGAGTCGGGACGAGGCCTCGCCAACCTCGAAACCATGAACAGGAGAGGGAGACCGACGAAGAGGAGGGATGAATTCTGAATAGACGAGTCGTACCCACCTGCATGTTTAATCACGTTTAATAATCATTGATGTTGTTGTTCTTAGACTTATTATGATATATTAATAAATAAATGATAAATGAATAGAATATTAAAATAGTATGGGGTTATTCTATACTTCTGAGGATTATCATAACCACAACTTGTGAACTATTATCTATGTGCATACAGTAAAAACTCCTTAAAAATGTGGCCACACATCATCCTCTCCCATCATTTCACCACACTCTGAATTCATTGATTTGATTGGCTAAATGACGAAAAGGGCCGCTGAAGGTCCGTTGTAATTTATGAAAGAAAGGTAGCCTAATTGTATTGTTTATACAATATATAATATAATAACTTTAAATATTTTTGTCTATTTATATATATATATTTGACAAGGCCTCTGCATACATAATATAATACTTTATTGCAAATATATATATATATAAAATAGTTAATTATTTTTAATTCAAGAGAAACATTTAGGTTTTGATCTTTTTAAAAAATAATAATAAAGAAAAAAAGGAAAAGAGATGTAGGCCTAATGATAATTTTGTATTTTCTAATTATTATGAACATCTTAGTTACTGTTTACAATCGGTATACAAATCTGAATATACAGAATCAAGTTCTTTTTTCCTTAAAGTATGAGAAGTTTAGGGGAGTCGAATGGCAGGGCGGTAGGGAGCCGCAACCTACAGCCATAATATCGGCACTGGTTCGAACGGCACGCTCTCCTAATGATTCTGGAGGTGGAACAATCGGATAAGGATTAACCGTAGGCCCAGTGTACACAATTGCCTCATGTGCCGTTTAAAAACTTAGTGCATTTTTCGAGATGAGTAGGGGGTTCCCTCGGTGTACTGGTCCATACAGCTGCTGTTGTCTTGCGACGGGATTTCCACTTCCAAGAGTGATTATACGTAGTGTTTGCCATATCATTAGCCCTAGTGCCTAAAGCTGAATAAATAAAATAAATAATAATAATAAAAAAGAAGTACAGTATCTCATTGGATAAGATAAGGGCAGGCATAATTTGGTGTCATTTGTTTTGTGGTATACATGTGAAAATTGTATTTCTTTTAAATCAATCAAAAATGCTGTACTAAACAAGGACAGAATCTAGAACTTTGTTATAATTTGATTTGCTGATCATACCTTTGCATTACCGTCAGAGAGTTAGTGGTAAAAAGTGTTTTTGCATGGTTTTTAAATTCCTAATTAGCTGCATTAATTTAATTCCACTAGGGTAAACACTGATAATTAATTCAATGCTGAAAATGATGTGGGGCGTTTGTTCAAAGTGGAGCATTTATTTGAATAAATCTGTGTAATTATTTTTTTTTTAAAAACATGATGGATCACAAGATGTTAGCTTGATAGATAATTAATCATTATTAGTCTTTTATGAATTTTAAATTATGACGTTTACTCTTTGAATTGTGTTTTGTTTCATGTTTTTTTTAATTGTCTTTTCTAGTTATGTTTATTTTGTGAAAAATAAATATTATTATTATTATTATTGTATACTTATATAGCGCATATCAAACTTCTCTATGCGCTGAACATTATTACCCCGGATCACTGGATCAAGCACATATGGAACACACACTCAGGCCCCATAGGGGAATTCCATAATGTTGCAGCTGTATTCAGCGCAGGCTGTGTTTGAACCTACCAGGTACCCACTTTTATTCCTGGGTGGAGAGAGACAACCGTAGATAAAGTGCCTTGCCCAAGGACACAAGCGACTTGCACAGCGCGAGTTTTGAACCCCCGACCTCGAGGTTGGGAGTCCAAACCACAACCGATGCGCCAACCACTTCTAGGGTCCTCCCTCATGGATGGGACGAATGGGCAGAGTGTGGGTGAAAATCAGGGGTGGCCATAAAAATCGGTCGGAGGGCCAAAGAGAATTTTTGATTCAACACCGAGGGCCGCACCCAAACTTTGATGTTTCCAGTGTGCTTCCAAAAACGTTTGAAATGGAGGTTGGTTACAACTGTTGGTCCGACGTTGGTAAGATGTTGTAATAAATGTTAGGATGTGATTATAGACGTTGTTGGCCCGACGTCAGTAAACGTTAGTGGAGGTTGGTGCCAACAGTTGGGCCAACGTTGGTTAGAGGTTGTAAATTTCAAACGTTTACCGACGTCGGGGCAAAAAAAAAAAAATAAAAAAAAAAAAATTGGTTCGTGTGGGAATCGAACACACAACCACCAGTTTTGCTATTCATTATCCACCATCAACTAAACTGCCTTAAAAAAAATGGT